TATGACATGCTTTCGACTGGTTCTCTTGGTCCAGGGTAAACACAATACCCATCTTCCCAGGTCAAAATCCTGAAATAAGTACAAAACTAAAATTTAACTGATGTCCAAGTAGAGAAATTAAACCATATTCTATGTCCATGGTTTTCCTATAATCCTATCAAGGAACAAGATAACAGGTACAGCAGCAAGCATCATAAAGGAAAGAAAGAAATAAGTACACAACATATCACAATTTTTTTGTTAAAATTGTCAAAATTTCCATGAAACAATTGAATCAAAAAGAAACTTACAACGGGCTCCAATGCCTAAGCTTCCAAAGCACTGCATATTTCCAAGGTGAATTGCTGCACAGACTCTTCAACAACTGTCTCAAAGCAGTAGTACCCATCTTCAATCGTTCCAACTAAATCACAGAAGTATATATTACACTAAAAAAAACCCAAATTATGTCTACAATTTACCCTAACTACCTCTGTAGGATCCCCGCCCCGCTTGTTTAATTCTTAGCCCTGCTCTTCTTTTCCTCGGTGGCCCCTTTGAAAAAACCAGCAAAAATCCCATAGCTGACACCCCCTCCCTCACCAAAATCTAGCAACTATCACAACCCAAAACAGCGTTCCTGATAATACAACAGAAAAACGCAGCAAAATGCAACATAAAACTCCATTTCTTCAACCACCAGTAACTAACCGGATATGTACCCAATTCCAACCAAAGAAAATTCTGAAAAAAGACCCAGTATTCTAAAGGACCCGATATTTAATTTGTGCAGGAACTGCAAGGAAAATCAACAGATAATCTGAAGTCAAAATCGGAACTTTACTGTGTGTTAGCTCTTCCTGATTGATAACTTTAACGAGGATGATGATTATACCTGAAAGGAATTAAAGGTATCGGGATCAGAGAATTGGGAGATGTTCGAATTCGTTGGATTCCATTGTCAAGCTCAGTCTTAATCCTTCTCCCTGTAGAAACCGATATGAACAAAATCAAAGTGAGAGAGACGAGTGGCAATTCTGCTTTTTCCACTCAAAAGATATGCTCCATTGCTCCGAACGGCTTTAGCCACCTTTACTTATATACTACTACTTTGGCCACCGGCCACTTGCCTTTCCTTAATTTATTATTGGATTTTTCTAAATTTATTTAAAATGCAAGTTAAAAGTATATTCTTCTCATCAAATTTAATAATAATTTTAATATTATTATCAAGTAAATAAATTTAATTAAATAAATAATACATTTGAACCAAATTTTCGAATTTAGTGGTTTAACTCCAAACTTTAAAATACTTGAATTTAGTTAGTTGAGATTTTTATTTCCACTAATAATTTGAAAAATATCCATCATCCTTCAAAATTTTCAATGTTCAAAAAATAAATAAATAAGTAATGCATTTAAAAATAAAATTTTATTTTATTAATTTAAATTTATAAAAAAAAATAATATATGACACTTTTAAAAAGACATCATAAATTAACAATCTAAATAACTCAAAAATAATATTTTTTTATTAAAAATAAAAAATTTTTAAATTTAAATTACATAATATATAAATAAGATATAATAAAAAATAATTATTTTTTATTATATAATTAAATTTAAAAAAAAAATGCTCATTATTGTTGCTCTTAAAATAAGACAAGCCTCATATAATGGCATTTACCAGACAGGTGCGTTTCGTTTCTCAAAGCATCTCCCTTGGAAGTTGGGAAGGCGAAATTTGAGCTCAAATTGCATAAGATTAGCAATCCAAGTCGAGTAACTTGGGTGCTATAGTACTTAATAAAGTTTTTCTCGAGGTTGATTGTGATCTGGAGGAAAGAATATTCCACCTGGAGGTGGGAGGACGGGTTATTATTATTATTATTTTTTTTTTTGGTAAAATTTTATTAAACTCGCGAGCTAATTGCCGTCCGGAACCCACTGACCGCTACATGCAATTTTTTTGTTTTTTCCTCGTGCATTTTCCTTTATGTCGTGTTTGGTTAGCCTTCTCTATAACAACATTTTTAAAAAGAAAAAGGCTTAATTTGAAAGTGTTAATTTGTAATTACATTTATTAGTTTTTTATTTTTTTAATATCTTAAATATATATTAAAAATATATTTAATATTTATTTTAATTAATATTTTATATAT